AAAAATGCAGTGCAGTTATGAAGCCATTTAGCAAACCATTAAAGAATTAGAAATGGGAACCGTTCAAGAGACCTATTGCTCAAATTGACAGGAAACAATTACTACATTAAAAAAATGTTGTTGGTATTTTCTCTTGTTTAAATTATGGAAAACCATGTCATATGGCTAAAAAATGTAAGAGTAGGCATGAACTTGGTGTTGCCCCTAATGCTCATGTTATATTGAGTGATGAGTAATTTATTGTTATGATCACTGAAATCAATATGGTTGGTGGATCTCATGGTTAATGGATAGACACCTATGCCTCTCATTATGTATGTTATGATCGTCCAATGTTCAAAACATACACGAATCCTGAAGATGAGAAAGTGTTATTGGAAAATGCTCGCACCACTAATGTTGCTATTATTGGAGACATGAAGCTAAAGTTCACCTCCGAGAAGACTTTAATGTTAAAGGATGTCATGCATAGTCATGAGATTAGAGATATTCTTGTTTATGAGTTTCTTTTTTATAAGAGAGAGTTTAGTCAATGTATTAGAAAAGATTTCTACACTATATCACTAAAAATGCTATTTTTGTTGAAAAATGGTTCGTCACTAATGACATATTTAAGTTGAATGTTGAAATGAATAAAATGTCTCTTTCTATTTACTCTTTTTGTGATTTTATTGTTTAATATGCTAGACTTAGTCATATTAATAAACACATTATTTTTAGTTTAAGTAATCTAGCCTTAATCCCAAAGTTACATGTAAATGATTTAGAAAAATGTAAATTTTGCAGTCAAACTATGACAACTAAGACTTCACATAAATAGTGATAAGAGAATTCAAATCTCTAGATCTAATACATTATTACATATGTGAACTTAATGCAACTTTAACTAGAAATAATAAGTTATTTAATCACTTTTATTGATGATAGTTCTGATTGAATTTTGTATACCTAATGAAAAATAAAAGTGAAACACTTGATATGTTTAAGAATTTTTTTGAATGAAATTAAAAATCAATTTAGTAAGAAAATTAAGAGGTTTTATGGTGATAAGGGAATTGAGTACGACTCTAGTTTATTTAATAAATTTTATAAGCAACATAAAATTATACATGAAACAACTAAACCATATTATCTTGAAACAAAAAGAAAAAAATAAAACTCTTATTGAATTAATCGTTGCTATTATGTTGAGTTCTGATGCTACATCTCATTTGTGGGAGAAATTTTTATTATCTATTTGCTATGTCCTGAATAAATTCCCTAAAATATAAAAACAAGATATCCCCTTATGAGATATTGAAAAGAAGACAACTAAACTTATCTTATTTTAGAAGTTGAGGCTCTCTGACTTATGTTAGGATTTTGAATTTGAAGCGAGTTAAAACCACTAGTAGAGCCTATGAATGTGTATTTATTGAATATTTAGCAAACAATTATGCATATATGTTTTATCACCTAAATGTTAAACTCATCATAGAATCAAATGATGTGAGTTCTATGAAAACAAAGTTCTTTTCAAATCAAGATATAGTGAGAGAACTAAATTCACATTTATGTGATAAGAAATACCAAAAGCAACGATGAAGTAGAAACAATACTTTGAAAAAGTAAGAAAGTAAGAGTTTCAAGATCATGTGTCTGATTATGGGGCATATATAGTAGAGAAGATCCAAAAAATATTCAAGAAGCCTTATCATCTATGGATGCATCGTTGTGACAAGAATCTATTTATGATGAGATATATTATCTAGAATCTAACAAGACCCGAGAGTTAGTAGACTTGCCTTCTTGTTGCAAATCAATCGATAGTAAATTGATTTTGAAAAAGAAACTAAAACTTGATGGAACAATTAACAAGTATAAGGCTTGCCTTGTAGCCAAAGATTTTAGGCAAAGAGAAAATATAGATTTATTCAATACTTCTTGTCCAATCACTAGAATTATATTCATTAGGGTACTGTTTTTAATTTATGCTATTTATCATTTAATAATACACCAAATGGATGTTAAAATAAATTGTATAAATGATGTTTTAGAACAAGAAATGTATATGGATAAACCGAAATGGTTCGTGATTCATGGGAAAGGAAACAAGTGTGTAAGTTAGATAAGTTTATGTATGGTCCTAAATAAGCACCAAAGCAATGACATGAAATTTTTGTTAACTTAATAACATTGAATGGGTACAAAGTGAATGAAAGTGACAAATCCATTTATTACAAATATGAAAAATAACATATCCAATATCATATGTCTCTATTTAGATGACTTACTCATATTCAAACAAAAATTTAGGTTGTGAATAATGTGAAATCACTATTGTGCAACAACTTTGATATGAAATATCTCGGAGAATTCATTATGATTCTTAAAATCAAGATTACTAGACCTGATAAGGGAAAATCTTTGGATCAATCTCACTATGTAGAAAAGATTTTAAAGAAATATAATAACTTTGACTGTAAACCTACTTGCACATCATACATTTCTAGTGTAAAACTATTTAAGAACATCAGTGATAATGTTAGAAAAACTGAATATGCGAGCATCATTGGCAGTCTTAGGTATGTCAGTGATAGTACAAGAGCCGACATTGCATATGTCATGAGATTGTTGTGTATGTTTACTAGTATACTAAGTAATGAGCATTGACAAGCTATTGATTGAGTCATGTGATACCTTAAAAGAACTATGAATCTTAGTCTACGTTAATAAAAAAATTCTAATATACTTGAAGGATACATTGATGCATATTGGAATACCTTATTAGATGATTTCAAAGTAACTATTGGCTACATATTCAATATAGATAGATGAGCCATATCTTGGAAATCAAAACAAACTATCTTGGCTCAATCTATGATGGAGTCTGAAATAATAAATTAGCAATTGCTAGTGAAAAAGCAAGTTGGTTAAGATGCTTTCTAGCTGCGATTCCTTATTGAAAAAAACCTATGCTAACTATGTTGATATATTACGATAGTAACACAACTATTGCAAAAATTGAGAAACCGCTATTATAATGGCATGAGACATTGAATAAGAAGAAAAAATAACAACGTTAAGAAGTGTATCTCTAAAGGATTTGTAAGAGTGGACCATGCACACACTGATGAAAATTTAGCAGAACCTTTAACGAAATGATTTGTTAGAGAGAAAATTCATAATACATCAAATAGGAGGAGACTAATGAAGCGAGTTGCTTATGATGGTAATTCGACCTAAAAGACTACAAAACCTAAGAATCAGGTTCAATGGGTAATAACAAGTTGCGAGCAATACGAGATGATCAAATCTAGTATAAATAACAGAAACATGAATTCTGAAGCGACAAGAAGATGAGATAATATAAACTCTTAATGAAATCTATACTCTATATGAGTGGAGTACCAAATTACACGATTACTCTTGATAGACTCACATGTTTGATTGTGAAGCTTAGGCCAATTCCTATGAAATTTCGAAACAAAATTCCTAGAGCCTTCACTAACTTGGATAGAAGTGCATGGTCATTAAATAACGAGCTTATATAATACACATTAAGAAAATGTTATGTGCGAGTTTGATAAATGAGATAGAGGTCAAGATAATGAGTACTCTTGTTGAGTAAGAATTCTACTTGCTATGCAAATGTTCAAGTCGTATACATCTTTATTTATGCACAACCTTAGAAACGTTTAACGTTACTTTTGAAACAATTTCAAATTCATTTGGGGGATTGTTAGAAATAAAAGGTATAGTTGGAAAATGGAAGGAATAGTTAACTTGAAATTGGTAAGAAATAAGCCTGAGTAAGAAATCATGTGTGAAAATATGAATTTGAAAAAGTTCTTTAAAGTCCCACCTTGGAAGGAGATCACACTATATTAGCGTTTATATAATGTAGGATGACCTCTTAGGACGTGTTCCAAGGAAGTACATATTTTTGTTAAAATAGAGAGAATGTGCCATCAAAAACCATCAATGACGTATTTTTGTTAACCTTTACATTAACTGCGTTTAACCAAGACTTCCCACATTTTCCTTGCTGACCAAAACTTCCTATTTCTTGCTGACCAAGCCACCTTCAAAAATTGGTAAGTTTCACTCTGCTCATCCCTCTTTTTCTCTTTCAGGTATGAAATTTCTCTGTAAAAAGAAGCATTTGCACCTCATGTTCTCCACTCCAAATTCAATATTAATCGAAATCTTTTTTGTCTTTCTTGTCTCCACGTCATCTATACTTTTGTTTTTCAGTTTTATTTTCAAGTGGTTGTTTTGCGTCTAATACGGCGAATATTCATACTAGATACTACAACTAGTATTCATACCTTATGTGGTTGATCTTTGTCCTATTAAAAGATGTATTTTGATAGATTATCTATTGTACGGTAGTAATCGTACAATTAAGAACTTATCTTTTATTTTGAAGAGGCCGTGGTTTATTATCTGCCTTGTACAATTTTTTAATTGGGTCGCAAAACGTTTTAAAGAGAACCCCTAGTATGCGATTTGTCCTGGTAGTTTCAAAATCTTAAAATACACCTTTGGCCTTCACTATTAAGCCTAAGATAATTATATACCAAATATTTGCTATGATTAAATGAAGCCAAGCAAAAGAAGGCAAGAGTTTATTTTCTAATCACACAAAAACAGAAATCATTCTTCAAATAACAATCAGATACCAATGCTTTGTTGACTATAATTTTCAACAAAGCAAATGGAAAAGATCCTACTTTTAGCTATAGAAATTAACATAACTTTTGTCCTTGGAATATTGGCCCCATGTCATAGCCTTACAATTCAATAGTTTCCACTCTTCCACCAAGTTTCCACACATGCAAATTTTGCCTTCAAGGAAGCATCAAAGCTACTACACACTTTGGTCACAACCTCTTAACAGAAAACCTAACAGAAAGTTAGTTAAGTAGTTTCTAATTGCTATAAAATCCATTCACACCATCTTCATCTTTCAATTCTGTTACATTCTCTTATTACATTCAAACCACAACTTTTCCACCATGAAAAATAACAAAGAAGCCTCTCTTTATACCATTGATCTTGATGATTCATCTCTGAATCAAGCTTATGAAACAGCAACTGCATTCTTTGCAATTCTTGGCGAATGGATGATCTTTGTCCTCGCATGTTCCATCTCGTTATTCTTCATTCCTCTAACTCCATCTTTCACACTCCATTCAGCAACTTCAACCGTTCTCAATGTCACCAATGAAAAAACCTTCGCAGCCAACTTGGGCTTCGAGTTTCTCGCAGAAGATTCCAACCCCATTGGAAGCACCATCCACTATGACTCTCTTGATGTCTCCCTCTTCCATCATCAAGAAAAGCTTTCGGTCTTCTCTCTTCCGCGTTCTTTTTACAACGAACCCGCATTAGGTTCAACTCAAGAAGCAAAGTTCAGTAACGTGTCTATGAAGGTTGACGAATGGAACGTCGCGAATGATGATCGCAGCCACGGAAAGTCTTGCTGGTTTGTGTATTTGGATTTATTTTTCAGTGCTAATGCGAGATACGAGCAACCAATGTGGCCGGTTATGAAAGACAAACTTGAAGGTCATTGTGGAGAACTGAAAGTTGAAATGTGTTCTTCTGGTTCGAGCACGGTGGTTAACTCGCTTCGCGCGCCGTGTGATGTTTATAGTGATCTGGTGACGAAGGTTAGGATCGCATTGTTTGGAATGTTGATCTTTCTTCTTGTAACTGCTGTGGCTGTTCCACTTGTTGTTGAGTATCTTGTTGAATCTTAGGTTTCATTTTTCTTCTTCTAGGAATTGTATATTTGGTTTCTTTCATTCTGTCATGGATTTCAATTCCATGTGTTAGATATGTTGTAGAGTTTCAGTTTTTTTTTTGAGTCATGAAGGTGTAATAGAGATAGCAATAGTAAAAGTGTTGCATGTGTTTGTTCTAAATAATACTCGAGAATAAAATTGTTCTCTTACATCTTATTACCATCAAAACAGAAATTAGAGATCACTGTTCTTCAAAACATTTTATGAGATAAAGTATTATAAAGGATCAGACTAAAAAATTTCCCTTATGAATATGTCAAAAATATTATTTAAATGATGCATGAAAATAATATTTTTCCATAATAACCAGTGGCACTCCTCTTAAAATTGGTTTTGTTTAAAACATTTTAAGAAATACTAGACTAAATTATCTCCTTTTCAAATCAAATATTTTTCTCCTTATTTTATCATTAAACAAAAAGAGTAGTAAATATATTTGAGAAGTCATTAAATAATTTAAACGAGAAAAATGTCAATCAAAGAAGAATACCAACAAATCATATAACAATATATTCTTGCTTAATACTATTTGAAGAAATTTCCCTCTAGTTAATCAGGTGAGATCAATTATTCTATTTGTTAAGAGTAGGGTTGACAATAAATCGAATTAATTCAAAAATAGTTTGGAATTCGGTTCGATAATTAAATCGTTGAAATAAATTCATGAATCAAATGAGTTGAATATGAGTGAAAAAACTAAATTTGTTAACTAAGTCTAAATGAGTTGAACTTGAACTATACATAGTTTGATTCGTTAGGTTCATGAGTCAACTCGATTATATATGGGAAGAATTACATTGTCTTTAAGAATATGTTTAAAGATTTACTCTAAATCTTAACCCTATATTTTCTTTTAATCTAATGGTGGAAAATATAGAGGGAGAGTTATTGATTTATTTTAAAAGTTGTGTAGTTTTTGAATAGTAGATTTTTGAGACAAAGTTGAATTCATATATGATAATTTTTATTTTATTTCAATATTTTCTTTTTAAAAAACTATTAATTTAAAATGTCAAATATGTAAAAAAAATTATACTATAAAAATGGCTTTTAAGTCCGTGAAGTAAACAAGTTGAACCTAACGAGGGGAACCGAGTTATTCGTGAACTTATAACGAGTCGAGTTTGAGTTTAAAAAAAGTTCGAGTCAAACTCGAACCGAGATTTGAGCTGAACCAATTCTTAATGAGTTGAGCTGAGCTGATGAGAGTTCGACTCGACTCATATCCAGTCCTAGTTAGGAGGTATTAGATGCCGTCCTTTTTCCTCGTTAGAAAAGTCTCCTTTTGTACTCGTTCACTCATCAATAGCTCTTAAAGGGATACCCCCTTCATATCCCATGTTTAAAGCAACCTTAAGTAATGACCGTTGTCTTCCCTAAGTAATGCTTCTTCCCTTAATTTTTGTAACTCCCATGCAATTATGGAGATGTTTCATAACTGTCATTTATGGTTGTTCATGTCACCTTCTGACACCCAACATCGGACCCAACTTGCTCATCCGCTAGAGTCATTACGTAACCAGATCTGACTTGCTCATGCCTTATAATAGTGTTCACCCTGACCGGGTTTCGACTTACCTAGGATTATGTTATCTGACTTGCCTACCCTTTAAACTCGGTCTATAAAAGCTCGGCCCTTCAGGAATTCCAGGATGTACATAAGCCCCCCGATGACAAGGTCTGGTTGGACTGAAGTGTTCATACAAGAAAATCTTAGAATTCCTTCTGCATTGAACCGATCACCTGTTTGGCGAGTTATCGTTGCTAGTGATTCAGTGATGAATATTTCTCTCTCTCCTTATCATGATGACTTTTTTTATGAGAATCCTAACTTGTCATCATTATTTTAGTTCGATACAACTTCCTGGCCGTTGTAAACTTATTTCAATAAAAGGACCCTTTCATTTGTTTCTTCACCAAATCTATTGACCCATCTTTCAAGTGATGCTGATGAGTTTCTTTTCGTTTCCTCAGTCAATCGCTCTTTTTGCAAGCTCAAGCCCCAGGTATTTTTCTCTTTCACCCTTTCTCTTTTTATTCTTTATAATGGTTATAATACAAGATTGTGATAATTTGGGAGAGCTCCCAATTTCCCTTACTGCTAATGAGAGAAGTAAAATCTGGAATGAATGCATGAGAGAGTGTGAGGGTCATGTGGGTCGAGCAGAGTTTGACTTGATTATTAGGAAAGTTAATGGTGAAATCCCCTCACCTAATAGTAAAACTGACTGAGAGTCTTCGTCATCAGGTCTCGTGGATATTCTGATGGAGACAATAGGATCTTTGATTGATAAAGAGGATCTAAGTTATGACTACAGTGTCATCGATGATAACTATATTTCGATGCTCTTATCTAATAATCAAGTTTCCTCCAGTGGTAATGAGGGGGATTTTGTGTTAGAACCTTGCGTTGTTGGTGAGAGAGTTTGTATTACTCAGCCAAGAGGAGTGTCCAATCAGTATTTTTATTTTTACACATGGGTAATCGAGGGTTTTAAAGTTCGTATTCCCTTTAGTGATTTTGAATCTAACGTGCTGAAAACCCTAAATATTTCCCCTTCTTAGTTACACTCAAATGGTTGGGGCTTTATCAAAGCTTTTAAACTCCTTTGTGAGGCGGTGGATATACCTCCCACCTTATGTTTGTTCTTCTCGTTCTTTGAGCTGAAGGGAATAGAAAAAGGAGGTTGGGTCTCCCTAAGTGGAATCCTAGGGAAGAGCTTCATTCAGGCTTATACTACTGTTGCAGTTAGAATATGATATCAAATTATTAATTAATTTGAATCGCATCTTTAGTTCACAACCGCTCTTTGATTTATCCGAAGGAAAAGGTCAAAAGAGGAAAACCTAATTTTGCATCGTAAAGACAATGCGGGGAGAGATCTAGGTAAGGGGTTGGTTAAGCTTAGGGAAGATACTAGCATCCTAAACTTCTGTAGTACTCTACAGGAACCTTTTTTTTACTGTATGCTTTTTTATTTTATTATCTGATTTAGGTATATATATTGAGCTAATAGACAGAGTGACCTAAAAGACCTAAGGGTTAGTCCTAAGTTTACTCGGCAAGACGTCGCATCTTGTGCCTACATATCCTGACGGGAATGGAATTAGAGTAATTGTAGTTCCCCTTGAAAGGGAGGTTAGAAACTTCTTGACTATGGTCAAGGTTTCAAGGGGAGTAAACGTATCTTAAGGACACGCTTACGTGGAGTTTTGAAACTCCTATTTCTATGTTGAATTTGTTAAATGAAATTAGGGTTAAATTAGGGATTCCACGGCGGGAAACCCTAAACAGAGTACAGTGACTCTTTGACCTAATGCTAGGGTAAAGGGTATTTTCGTCCATGGCAGGAAACCCTAAACAGAGTATGGCGACTCTTTGACCTAATGCTAGGGTAAAAGGTATTTTCGTCCACGGCGGGACGCCTAGGCTAAATAGGGTTTAGAAGCTGTTGAAACTGGGGTTATTGACTCGGTGGTCAAACGGCTAAACCTAATTCCTTCGGAGGGAAAATAACGGTAAAACATGCAAACATGGCAAGATATTATATGGCAGAAATTAAAATGCAGAAAGTAAAGAAAGCATCGCGACGATCACTCGCGTAAATTACAAATCCCTAAAAAAAGAAAGATAAAATGAAACCGCGACCATGGTGTCGCTTCCGCGAAAATAAGGTGCCGGCAAAACAGAAGAGTCGCCACCTTTCGTTATTTATCCCTCAGAACGGGAAAGGAAACGATCGGAAAAACCTGACGAAAAGGGTAAGACAAGGTCGTCGCAACCGTTGTCTGGGTTCGGGAGTCGGTTACGCAAGGGGAAGGTATTAGCACCCCTCACGTCCGTCGTACTCGACGGGATCCACGCTTGTTGTGTTTATATGACGAGTTGGTTTATCTATCTACCTATCAAGGCTGGCTTAAACAGAAAAGAAAATGACTCGGCAAAGCGTCGCGCTTTATGCCTACGTATTCTCATCAGAGAATGAGAAATCAGAGTCAACGTAGTTCGACCTACGACGGGTTATGGGAAAGGTGGCTCGCCAATACGTCAGTATTGTGCCTACGTACTCTCAACAGGTATGAGAGATCAGAGCTTACGTAGTTCGGGAAACTACGGCTTACGGGAATTCAGATTCATCTGTTTTAATCGAGTAGGGTTAAACAACAGTTCCAGTAGTTAGGGACAAAGCCTGTTTGCGGTGGCGCTGAAGTTTAACGACACTCTTTTCTTCAGAAAAGCTTTCTTTGAATTACGGGCCCACGGGGAAAAAAGGTTTGAAGTTTGTTTTCTGTCTTTTACGGAAGAACTGTTTTTTATGGTGTTTGCAATTTCAATCGCACTAAAGACTATGACCTGAGAGTGAATGCGTCGCATGTCACCCAAAGGGTACCATACTAAATATCCAGACTGTTGAAAAGAAGCTCTCCAACAATCCTTTCTCAGATAGCTTAAGACTCGTAATGTACGAAAGAAATCATTCATGATTACTGTATCTTAAGCTGTTTTAGAGATGAGAAGAGAACGGCTCAACTACGGGGAGACTATCAAGTCCTACTGTTGTCATGCCAAGGATTCATCCTATGATTGAGGTTTGAAACAGGGAACTCCTAGAAGTTATCATGCATAGGTTTCAACCTAAAGTTCTATCATCACTTCCTTATCAAAGGGAATGAGAGTCCTAAGGGATCATGTCAATGATAAACAGAAACAGATAAAGCATCAGCTTAAACAGTAAACATTAATCGACTGTAAAATGCATGCAATGCAAGTGAGGGAGGAAATGTGTATGGGGCAGCAGCCTCCATAAGCTCATATCAACCTCAAGCCAGAATGAATAACAGTAATCATACTGAAGATATAACAACATACTATCAAGCAATAACAGTAAACTGCAATCATACAGATAAAATAAAATCATGCTATCAAGCAAAATAAACCACATGGGTAAGGGAGT